TAATAATAATAATAATAATAATAATAATAATAATAATAATAATAATAATAATAATAATAATAATAACAATAATAATATTATTATTAATAACAATAATGACAATAATGATAATGGCAATAATAGTAAAAATAAAGAATTAACATCAGATCAAGATCAAATTACCAAAATTCCCAGAACATTTGATTATCCGACATTTATTAGATCGTTAAATATAGAATTTCTAGCTGATGCAGTTATTGAATGGTTACAAGAACAAGAATTAGCAGTTTACGAGACAGAAACTGATAGTAGTAGTGGAGATGAATCTTCAAATGATGAAGGAATTTCATGTTATGACAGTTCTGATTTCGAAGATTTTGATGATAGTGATGATGGTTGTGAATTTGATTTTAGCGATATTAGTAGTGATGATGATACTATCGATGACGATAGCGAAGATGATAGCGAAGATGATAGTGATGATGATGATGATACTAGCGAAGATGATAGCGAAGATGATAGCGAAGATGATGGTAGTAATAGTGAAGACGATATCAGAGTGAACAGTATCAACCTTGTCAATCTTATCACTCATTTCAATAGAGATAGAGAAGAGATAATAGGAGAGGATAGAATTAGAGAGGTTAGGGAAAATGAAGAGAATGGTGAAAGTAGTGTCAATAGTGTTAATAGTGTCAATAGTGTCAATAGAGTCAGAAACGATAATACATTATCATCTTTAGAAACAACAGCAATATCGTCAGCATCATCACCTTCATCTTCGTCATCATCATCATCATCATCTTCTTCTTCTTCAGATGACGATAATAATTATTCTGACGAAAATTCATTTGAACCAATATTACCAACAGATTCTAACGATAATTTGGAATCCTATGAACTTGATGAATATTTAGTATCGGAACTTTGTAAACTTTTTATTAAAAGTTCCCGAAAAATTACGGATCTTAGTATCGTTGATCTTTCGATTGATGGAATTTTTGTTAATCAAATTCCTAGTTATCCAAGAAATAATAATTGTTTATCACATATTGAATCATTGGAATTTGATGGATCATTCTGTGGTAAACCTTTTATAACTGGTTTAACTAAATTTTGTCGAAATATTAAAACTCTTATAATTGATGATATGGATGAAGATACGCCATTTATTGAAGAATTAGCTATTTTAATTAGAAATCAATCAAATCTTATTGGATTCAGTTTATCAGATATACCTTTAGATATGTCAACAGTTATAAGATCACTCGAATCACAAGTTGATTCACTTAAAGAAGTTATTATTAGGGATGCTTACATTCATGATAAAGATGCAATTAAATCATTGGCACGTTGTGTTAATATAGAATCTATTGATTTATCATTTGAAGAAAAAAAATATTATAAATCATTCACTCCTTTATGGTATTGTAATTTTAATAAACTTAAATATTTAGGTATTTCAATGTATTATACCTGGCAAGATCCTTTATTTATAGAAAATATTAGATCATTTTTGGCACTTAATGGTAAAAATCTTTGTGGAATAAATTTATGTCTTACAACCACAATTTATACTGAAATACTTCGAAATATTGGAATTTCATGTCCTAAACTTTCACATTTAGAAATTAATCGAATTTATGATGGAGTTAATTATCTTGTTGAATTATTAAAATTACAATTACCATTAAAGAAATTAGTAATTGAATATGATAAATCAAAACTTCATAAAGCCAATGGAATATTACCACCATTTAAAACATTACGATCATTGGATGATTTAGCCACATTTGAAATTGGATGGATTTTTTCTACCGAATATTTAAAAGAAATATTTGATGATTGGGTTGTACCAATTGAGAAATTTTCATATTGTATTGAAGAAGAAGAATTTAAATTTCATAAAGATATTTTAGAGGAATTTGTTATAAGATTAAAGAAGAAATATGAAATTAAAGATTATATAATAAATCAAATACCTTTTCAACGTACCGACAGGAATGGTTCTGTATTGAGAAAAAATAGAGTTATAATGAATATTCAATATTTGAGAAATTAATCTAATTAATGAGAAATTAGGTAGGTATGAATTTATATTTAATTTAATTTTATTTTATACGTAATTTTATGCTTAATTTTATTTACGCTTAATTATATTTACGCTTAATTATATTTACGCTTAATTTTATTTACGCTTAATTTTATATTTAATTTAAATTTTATTATATTATATTTTATTTTTTTTGCTTAATTTTATGCTTAATTTTATTATGCTTAATTTATATTTAATTTAAATTTTATTATATTGAATTTTATTATATTAAATTTATGCATAATTTATATTTAATTTAAATTTTATTATATTAAATTTTATGCATAATTTTTTTGCTTAATTTTTATATACGTAATTTTATGCATTATTTTTTTTGGATATAATTAACTTATTTATTTACCCTTTTTTTTTTTTTAGTCGAAATATTGAAAGGAATATTATCAAAAAATAAAAAATTGTGGCATTTCATTAAAAAATAGATGAATAGATAAGAATAGTATTTATTGTATTATCATTATAATATACTTTTTTATACTTTCTTGTCTGTACTTTTACTTTTTATTGGGATAATGTGTGCAAACAAATTATAATAAAGAATTTTATATTCACGCGTTGTTTCTATATAACTGTTCATTTATTTTATTCATTTTTTTTTATATCATATAAAACTTGACATGAGAGAAACATGAATTCAGCATCAATGAAACGTGGTAATCTAATTATTCTAATTATTCTAATAATTCTAATAATAATAATTCAAGTGTAAAAAAAAAAAGGATATTTTTTAATAATTTCTTTCTAATCGACAAAAATTATATCCAAAAATATAATATAAAATATAAAATATAAATATAAACTATCAATAATAAAATATAAAATATAAATATATTTGTACTAAATAAATTACACTTAATATTTAAATAATTAACATAATTATTTATTTATAACTAACTGAGGAAAAAATAATAATAGTTTATACTTCTAGTTAATAAATATATCCCTTTCTTTCTTATCTCTTTCTCTCTTTTCATTTTTCTCTTCTACATTATAAATAAACGACTCTCTTTTTTTTTTTTTTAATTAAAAAAAAAAAGAAAGAAAAAGAAAGTTATTATTGTTATTATTATTTCATATACCTATACAAAATTAAAACAATAAATATTTAAGAATAAATATATTTTATTTACTACATTATTCTGTCCACGCTTCTTTCTATTCTTTCTTTATTCATTTTTTTTTTCTTCTTTTATTTTCATTCTTTATTCATTCCATTTGTTCTTTATTCATTCCATTTATTTTTTCTCATTCTTTTCATTCTTTATTTAATAAAAGAAAAAAAAATGAATATCTGAATCTCTACCTTATAAATCGTCATAAGCTATTATCTTCCTTTTTGGAATTTGATTTCTTGGATCCAAAGAATTTGGTTGAGGAAATGACGGTGTTGATGAAGAAACATTTGTAACTAATAATAGCGTGATAAAAAATTTTTTAAAAAAAAAAAAAATCAAAATAAAAAATAAAAAATAGAATTAATAAAAATAAAATTAGTAAATTAATAAAAAATTATAAAAATAAATAAAAAATTAATAATTAACAAATAATTAATAATTAACATTTTTAATAATAAATCTTACCCGATGATGAAAATTCGGAATTTTTAGATATATTATTCTCACTTAATTTATATAGACCTGTTAATTCTTTTAATTCATAATTTATTGAATTTAAATCATTTTTTCTAGCTTCAACTCCATCTTTAATATAATAATAATAAAATTATTATAAAAATTATTAAAATTATTGTAAAAAAATTATTGAAATTAATATATAATACACAAACCTGCATCACTCCAAGGCATATTTCCAAAACCATTTACATTTCTTTCAGGTCGTTTAGCTCGATTTACTATAAAAAAAGAAATATAATAATTAATTAATAATTAAAATATGAATAGAATTAAAATATAACAATGTAAAATACCTTGTATATGACTTGAACCTAATAACGATCCATTCATTTTTCGTCGTGCCTCATCAGCGTTTTCTTCGGTATCAAAATCAATAAAGGCGATTCTATATTTAAATTATATAATAATCAAATTAAGTGAAATTAAGTTAAATAAGTTAAATAAAGTTAAATAAAGTTAAATTAACATCAATTAATAATATTGATAATTAAATTAACAAAAATTTAAATATTAAAACAAACCCTTTTTCTGGTAACCAATCAATATTTTCTATATCACCAAAGCGTTCGAAAGCATTATGTAATTCACGTTCAGTAACTTCACGAAGTTCTCCAACGAATATTTTTTTAGGATAAAATTCAGTGTCAATATATCTACTTGCTGCCATATATGGCTAAATGATATGATATGAATAATATTATTTTTTATTAAATTAATTAAACAAAATAAATAAAATAAAATAAATAAAATAAACAAAATAAATAAAATTAATAATTAATTAATTAAAATTGTAAAATATATTACATCATCATGAGATCTTCGATGTTCTCGTTCTCCGGAATTATAACGTGGTCTACCACTTAATCTTTTATCATCTTCATCACTATCAGATGATCTACGAGACCAAGTTCTAGATCGTTTTCTTTCTTTATGATATCTTTCATTATCGTCACTACGGTTATTCTCTTCGCTATCAGATAATTTATTCTGACTTGAACGTCGAGGAACATATCGATCTAAATGATATTTTCGATGATAATAATGACTTGATCTACTGCTACTACTAGGTTCATAATGATCATCTGAAAGTTTACGTCGAGAAGATCGACTACTACTGCTATATCTCCTTGATTCAAATTTATTATGATCATGATCACTATGGTCACTATGATTATATTCTTCTTCGCGTTGACGATTATCACGATCGCGACGCAACATTCGTCCAAATTCATCTACTTCAACTGATTCTCTATAATTATAATTAATTAATTTAAATTTAATTTATTTAATTATTTTATTTCGATTATTTTATTTTTATTTAATTTAATTTTATTTAATTTAATTTAATTTAATTTAATTTAATTTAATTTAATTTAATGATATTTAATTTATATTTGATTTAATTTAATTAATATAATTCTATTTTTATTTAATAAGTAATATAAATAATTTAATATAAACTTACTCATCATTTCTATCATTATTATCATTTCTATCATTTTTGTCGTTCTTATCCTTTTTATCCTTTTTATTGTTTCTATCGTTGGTATTTTTATTATTGTTAATGATTTCATTATTATTTCCAGAGGTGATTGATAATTCTTCTTGAGCTGTCTTTACAGTTTGCTGTGAGCTATTTTCACCTTTTGCCTTTAAATTATTAAAATAATTGTTAATCTATTTAAGGAAGAACTTTAGATTATACTCATTAACGTATATTTAAATAATAAAAAACGAACCACCACCATAATTATACAAATATTTTTCTTTCAAAAAATTTTTTTAAACTTAGAAAAAAGATGTGACGAATATAATGAATTGATAATAAAAAATTTTCAAAAATTTGTCCTACTCTAAATTTACAAACGTACAAATGCACAAGATATTCATGTGTTGTTATTAATAATTAAAAATTTTCAGGCACGTGAATATAATAACCATTTATGGAAAATGAATGACTGGTATTTTAATACCTTTAATATCTTTAAATAATAATTGAATACAGAATAATTTTAAATAAAGTATTAAATAAATTTAAACGATATAATAATAATAATAATCCATATAGATTTATCGATACAAAGAAATTTAAACCACTATTAATCTCTAACGTAGGCGACATTCTTTTGATCTGACCAAATATCTCTCAGTTTCCTATAAGTTTCTTGCATGCCAAAAGTTGAGATATTAATCACAGGATCTGAAGCATCTCTAAACGATATATTCAAAAAAAAAATAGAATTTATTATTATAGGTATATAATAATAATAATAATTATTATTATTATTATAATTATGATCATAATTACAATAAATTACCCAGAAATAATTGTTAAAGTTCCGCGACCAGTAAGAACTTGAAAAAAATTTCTATGAAAACTTAAATCTTTAATAGCTCGAACTTCCTAGAAAACATAAATAAATAAAAAATAAAATAAATAAATAAAAATAAATAAAATTTAGTATAATTCAAATAAATCATAATTTACATAAATTTGTAAATAAAAATATATATGAACATACTAGAGTTCCTTCAGTAGAACCACAACATCCTGCAGTATAGTCAATTCTTCTATCTGTTATTTTCCAATGTACTATTATATATATATATTAAAAAAAAAATTTATTAAAGAAAAAAAACTTATTAAAAATTTTAAAAGTTTTACCTGTATTACAACAGCATGGCGAGAAAATACCGCATGGCCATGTTGTTCCGTTCCAAATTATATTCTAATTTTAATTTTAGTAATTTTAATAAAATATTCTATATTATGAAAAAATGACAACGGTATCAACTTTTATTTTTTACCTCATTTCTTGACATCTTTTTTAAAATTTTTTCTTTTTTTACTCTAATTTTGAAAAAACAAAGCAGAGAAGATAATAATCGAGTAAATCTTTATATTTACAATATATATACCAAAATGATGACTATATTATACTATATATTATATTAACACAAGATGCTTGGCAAATCTTGTGAGAAAATAATAACAAAATAATCTAGTTTTATATCATTCTATCCTATTTTAGGATTAAGTTATACATATAAAATTATGTATATTTTATATAATTCCTATAACATAATGTCGATGAAGCGAAGAATATGATGACTTTCCTTACACACATTTTTCAAGTAAAATTGACGATTTGGTTACAGATATTATAATTGTTATTTTTATTCCGGAGAAAAATTAAAGTGAAATTTCGAAATAACAATTATTTAACGGAGTTAGATGGTGATTTTTTTAGAAAAGTGCAAAATAATTGAATAAACAATTTTGATGTTTTATTATGTATAGTGTTGAAACTTATTTTTATTTTTATTTTTTGTTTTTCGTTAATAGTTTTTTCATATCATTTACTGTTATAGTTTTATTTATTTTTTATTGCATTATTTAATTACTTTTTTAGGTATAAAACTGAAAGTAAGAAAGAAATCTTTCATTGTTATCTGTATACAATACAAACTGTTATTTAGTTTGTTTATAGACTTTTTTAGAATATCTTTTTCGTGATATTGACTGTCATTTGTTTGTTTTTATTATATTTCAAAACAAATACTAACGATTGTTTTCCCTTCTTCTGGCATTGTTTGTTGCTTTTATTGGTGTTAACTACCATAGAATTGCGTCTTCGCATACGTATAGTTATGGTATGTGTCTTCGCATAATTATGGAATGCATAGTTATGATATGTTTCTTCGCATAATTGCATCGAATTTGATATTTAACCAAATCAAAAAGGGTTTATCAAGAATTTTAATAATTACAATTTGTCCTTAAACAAGTCAAAGTTTATATGCTTATGCAAACAATAAATTTTATAATATTAATGTCGGGTTTTATATTAAATAAAATAATTTTATATGCAGTATATCTTTTTTTAATCTTCCCTTTCATTTATTCCCTCGTGAACTAGAATTTTTGAATTTATTTCACATTTGCTCTTAGATGTGATTCTGATAATTACATAAATGCAACTTCAATAAGTTGCTTTTTTTTTTTTTGGATTACTGGTGATTCATAAAAGCCAAGGTGGCTCCCGCATGTTGGTCAGCAGAAATTGGGATTTCTTATATAAAATTTGAAATGAAAAACGAGTTTAATATTTTATGTTAAGTAAAATTAAAAAATATCAACAAGTAATTTCGTAACAGCATCAATACAGGTAATCCACCAATTATACAATCATATTTGTTGATTTTATAATTAATCCTTCAGGCTTTTGCAATGGCTTGAATTTTTGAATCAGTATAAGATCTATTTAAATTTTGATTATCAATAAATTTTAAGTCTTCTCCTTCAATCAACTCTTTACATGTATGAAATGAGAGGCTTCATCTGTAACTGTTGTGTGATAAGACATTCATGTAAGTAAGGTTATCTATTTAATTACGATACTATATTTTTAATAGAGAATTCGAAGAATTGAAGGATCATTATATATGTATCATAAAGTTAACATCACTATAATGAATCTCTTTAAAATTTATGTTCAATTTTATTATTTTAATTTAAAGCAGTAACATATATTATAAAATAATGTTGAACAGTACAACCAATTATTTAAAATATTAATTTAATTATGATCGTATTCTAAGTAAACAACACATAGTTCACGTCACAGTAAATAAATTCATTTTCAAAAATTGTTTGCCGTCTAAGCTGGGTAGAATTGTTAATGCCTTAATTAAATTAATTTCGACGAATATGTATAATCTTGATGATATGTTTTAAAAATACACTATTTTTTAAAATTTATAATTTGATAAGTATAAAGTAAATAATTACAAAAACTTTAAAAAACTGATAATTTTAAAGTTAAAAAAGATCTGTTTAAAATTTTAACTTTAGTTAATATGTATTTTTAATGGTTATACGAAAGTATTTGGACATACTGTACACACTAACTGATATGACAAAAAACGTGTAATTTATTTTTTGTACTAATACATAGATCTATTACTTTTGCATCTATAATACAATTTTTTTTCTCATGTGCGATTTTTTTACTATTTATATTTACGCTTATTATTTTTTTTTTGGTTAAGGCAATAAATGCCTACCTCTCAAACAGTTAGGACACCAAAGTATTATAATTTCTCATGTAAAATTTCTAATTAGTTATTACAAAGGTCTCTAAGAGAAACTTTCGCAGAAATTAACACGTTATTCCAAAAAAGCTGAGGAAAGTACAGTACTTCTACTCTCAATACTAGTAACGATAACCGATTTGACCAGGATGACGAAAAAGCAAAGATTTTCTACAATCTGAATAAAGTAAGTTAAAGGATATTTTTAATGATCATGGGGTGTGAGAAATATTTATCACATATTGGTTGGAGCTTAAAGTATTAGGGACAATCATTACCTTTCGAGGAAAGTCTTGGGGCCAATTAAATCCTCTCTCACAAAACTTTATATTGTCTATTAGTGAGGAGAAGAAGATCCACTGAACTATTAATTTGCAGATATCAAATGTGTCCATCCATGTATTCCATATATTAAATTTTTTTTTTAATATAGCATAAGATACAATCAAAAACCATGAAAAAAGAAACTTAAAATACATTAAAAATCAATGAGTTTCTGAGGATCTTAAATCAATTAATATATCTTAACCAACTGATCTCAAATTTACACTTATTGAAAAAAATATCAACAACTTAATAGTAATAATTATTCAATAATTGGAATTATTAGAATCAGAGATTTTTGTAACCAATATTTCAAAATCAACATTGTTTGATAATAACAACAGAAAACTTTCTATTACACTACCTACATTATCCATATCTCAATTCAATATTTCTTCCAAAGTTCTTTCCATTCAAGAAACGAATATAATTATGTTATTAACAAATTATTTCACATTTTACTATCTTCCTTAAGTCAAATAAAAACATTAATATAGATATAGATATGGAATAACATATTAATCAGATGGATTGAGTTTTCTTTTTAGTTATCACTGAAATAGAGAATATAGCTTCTGTTAAACAAGAAGAAGTCTTCTGCAACAGGGGAGCTTGTCAGAAGCCAGCAATGGCAAGTCATTATCCAGTCGTAACTGGTCTTGTGACAATAATGATGACCATCTCGATAATGATTTTCTCATATACTTCATTCAAGATATTTAATTTTTTTATTCTTGTACTTTCAAAGCAATAATGAAAGCCACACACAACATAACTTAACAAGAAGGTCATATTAACTGGATATTAAGCTGCCCTAATTCAAATTCTCTTGCATTCTTTTGATATATATGTCTAACTCATCAAATACTAAATATTGGAAGGTACTTAATTCGGAACTGAAAGTAAACTCAAAAAAATGAAAAATACGATCGATATATATAATTTAATAGATTATTTGAGCCTGGTAAGTTGAAGATTGTGAAGAATCAAATTATTATTCTTTTTAGGACAAAATTAATTTATAAAAATTACAAAAGAAATTTTTATTATCATTTTTATTATTAATTTTTGTTTTTTTTTTTACTATTTCAATTTAATAATTCTATATATGTCTAGAATTTTGTGAATGATCGTCTATTTTATTTATTTTAAAAAACAAATAATAATATATGCTCAAAAAAGAAATATATTTTTTATTACTTTTGAAATATATTTATAAGTTAAGAATTAGAAACATATATGTAATTTACAGAATATTTATAAAAACAGAATAATATTTTTAGATTGCTTAGAAGGTTGAAGATTAGTTTATTAACTTGTTTATTACAGGAACTTAAAGAAAGTTAATATCTAGATCATATAAAATTATAAAAACTATTTTTTAATAAATGTTTTAATACTTTTTTATCATGTATAAAATGAAATGAATCAATAATTTTTAAATGTCATTATGACATAAATGGAATAAAATCAGGCCTATATAATGATTATTACTTTATAATTTTTTTTTTTGAATTTCGTCACTCAAGTATACTTCAAAGTTCGAGGCATTGATTTTTTTTGTTTGTATACTGAATTTTTCATTCTTTTTATCAGTTTTATTGACTTGAAGATTTCTTTCAACTTCCTTAATCTATTTTCCATTTGAAATTTTTTTTTTTTTTTGCTTTCTATATATTTTCGATGTATCCATAAGCCTACTATAAATATTCTCATAAATGTGTGAATCTTTATCCTGAATATTTCAAATATTTGATATTTGTAAAAGAGTATTAAGAAAGAAATGAAGATCTTTTTATATATCAATTTTCGAACATCTGTCATTATTTCTGATTACAGGATCTGATCAAGTATCGTGTTATCCACTGATGCGTTTATTTTTTTTACTTCCTTTGAACTAGCATGGAGATTAATATAAATGTTCAATATCTTTGAAAAGGATGGGTTTGATTACTTTACTCAAACTTTGGTACACGATTGGGATCCACTAAACTAATTATATTTTTTAAAAAAGTACCGTATCAGTTGAACTAGATTAAGCAATGGTAACAAGAACTTTTAGTGAACAACTCGAATGGCTGATAGTAAATGGGGTCGAAAGCGAACAGGAGAAGGTGAAATGTTTAAAGAAACAAATTTCAAGTAAGATTATAATGGCTGTAGGGACCCGTGAGACTACGTCTCTTACACAGTACTCCTGCTACAATTCCCACAACCACATTATAATTATGTATAATTTCTAACTACTTTTCTAGATTTATTTGCAGAAAGGTGGTCGAGTATATCTTTTTTGGAAAGAAGAATTGCACATTAATAAACTTGATAACATCGAAAAAAATGTCTCTATTAGGATTTGTAACCTTCAAGTAAATATTATGTAATGATGTATAATTATTTATTAATTGGTTTCTTAGTTCATTTTTAATGTATTTTTAATATACTGTAGGTACAACATCATTTATCTGTTGCAAATCATATACTTACAGGAGGAAACAACATAAATTCTCTTAATATAAGTTATAAAATAAGCACTTTTAAGAAAACAATTGATTTAGGTTTTTCAAAAAAGATATTGGAAAGAAAAATGTTAATAGTTAAATAACTTTTTCATTTAATAGATAAGAAATGACAATGTCACTAATACTTGTTCTAAAGAAACTAGTTTGAAAAAAGTTAAAGGACCTTAAGAGAATAGAAAGTTGGTCTGTAAAAATAATTTGAAAAGAAAAAGAGATGATGATGAGTTAGATTATGAAGGATTGGCATTATTATTTGATGAATCAAACAAAGATACCCTTGTGGAAAATATTAATGAAAAAGTACTTGAACAAAAAAATGTATTACCATAAACAAGTGGTAATAGTGTCTCAAAGATAAAACTTAATGTTAACAGTTGAAAATATATATTTAGTATGCTTATTATATTATATTTCAATAGGATCAACAAAGAAATATTGATGTAAGCATCGCTGAAGCCTTTTATAAATATCAAAAGATAATTTTGAAAATCTGTAGAGTTTTCACGTATGTTTGATGTTGGTTATTATTTTCTTAATAATGACATAATTACTGATACATTTTATCATTTCATCTAACAGTCCCACATATTTGAAAATTCTCGACTAAACTGGAGAAAGTTTATATGATTGTAAAAATCTCACGGATAAGGTTATACTACAACTTTCACAAGAATTTGTTAATAAAATTTTTTGAAAAACAATATTACCTTGAAACAGTGATGACAAATGATCCAAATGATCTCAAATAACTTTGTGATTTTGATTATTTGTCATTTGGGTCATTTAATTTCAATTTCAAATGACCAGGTCATTTAACTCAACCAATTATATGTCACTAATATTTATAGTAACTCAATATTAAACTTATATAATGCAATTGTTAACATATATATGTTTCTTATCTATTTAATTTATTTTTGTAAATTAAATATTATTAAAAATAATATTTATATACCTTCTCCTCTTGAAATCAGGTTTCTAGGTTTATGACGAATAAGTTATACTTGAAAATTGGATTTGTAGTGTGTATATATAAAGTTATTTTTTATTTTATTTTATTTTTATTTTTATTTTCTATTTTATTTTAGTTCTTTTTATTTCTAGATTTATAATAGATGTGTTATACTTAATATACTGTAAATTTTTATTTTTATTTATTTCAGTCACGACAGATGAGTAATATTTTGAAATCAAATTTGTAGTACATATTTATAAAATTATTTTTTATTTTATTTTTTTTTTATTTTTTTTTATTTTAATTTTTTTATTTTATCTTTTTTATTTTATTTTTTATTTATTTTATTATCTTTTTGAAATCAGGCTCTAAGTTCACAATGGATGAATAATATTAAGAATTGGTGGCACGCATATATAAGGTTATTTATTATTTTTTTTTTTAGTTATATCTTCTTTTTAGAATTGAACTTCTGAATCATGCAGATGGATAATATTTTATATAAATTTTATTTTTTTTATTTTAGTTATTTTATACTCTTTCCTTTGAAATTGAACTTTTAAGTTTATAATGAATGAGTAATACTTGAAATTGAATTATAGTATATATATATAAGTTATTTTATTTTATTTTGTTTATTTTTAAAGCTATTTTTGCATTCTTTCCTTTGGAATTGGACTTTTAGATTTGTGACAGACAAATGTAAAAAAATAATACTTGAAATTTGACTTTTAGATTCTTAAAAGTGTAAAGAAATAATATATTCATGATATATATATATAAGATTATTTTATTTTATTTTATTTATTTTTAAAGTTATATTTCTCTCCTTGGAATTGGATTCGTAATTTGATAAATGTATAAACTCTTTAGTTAAATATATCATTAAAAATTCTAATTAAGATATTATTTTAAATATATTTTATATATATTTAAGATTCTACCTTTTTATATTTTTTTATTTTATTTATTCTTGGAATTGGGTTTCATCATTAATTCTAATTTTAACTTATTTAATTATTTAATTTATTAAATATTATTTTTATAGTTTACTCAAAAATAATTTCAAAGAAAATTACTTAAATGGATTGTGATTAATGATCAACTATTTACTGTAGTTGAGAAAAAGGAATTTAGACAAATGATAAAGTTATTACATCAAGATATATTAATACTGTTGACTATGATCTGACCTTCAAGGAATACGATTAACTATTAGCTAAAGATACTGTAGCTAAACTAAAATATAATAAACTACTAACTAATTTATACTAAAAAGTATGATTTAAATGTTACGGATTTGTTTGAAAGAGGTAAGACTATGAGATTTTTTATAAGGGTTTGACTAAACTATTCATAAAGAAAATAACTAAACCAAACTAAACTAATAATTCCTAAGTAGAGAATTATAACATTAAAACAAAATACCAAGATCACAAAGTAAGGTATAATTAACAAGGGTTTTAATATTCCGCCTAGAAATAATACAGAATTTTATTAAGAAATTACAATGGTATAAATAATAATCCATAAGAGTATTATTTATAAGGCAAATCACAAAGTATTTTATTAACAAGAACTAAGGCTTAGCTGTCGAACTGAGGACTGAACAAAGAGAAATTCAGCCTTTTATATACATAATTGAAGTTATAATATAGATTACACTAATACATACATTATTAATTACGCTGATGTATACACTATTAACTATGCTATCTATTATACTATCGATTATGCTATTGAATACACTATTGATTACGCTGTTCATTACACTGTTGATTACACTCAGATCTACAGTCATAATACCTAATAGTTATATCAATTTCTAAATAATTTACACTAATAATTTTCTATAATATATACTAATAAAAATATGAAATTAAACTAATAAGATATGATTATAAGCTAATTTTTTTTTTTTTTTTAAAGTTTTGGCGAGGCTTTGTCTCAAATTTATTGACTAAAAAAAGAGAAAGTCTCCTACATTAATATTACATAATATAAGATATACAACTTATTCTAGTAACTAACGAAAAAATGAGACTCAGACTAATTCGTATTGTCAATCCTAAGATTGACACGAAACACACCTGCAACCTACCGCCATGATATGATTATAAGCTAATACATGCTAATAATATAATATAATAATTGAATAAGATAAAATTATAATAATAAGAATTGACAACTAGGGTCAACAATATCTTCTGCTGAAACTATATATTGTGATTTAACTTATAATTTTGAAAAAATAAAAAACTAAAATTAAACAGCAATTGCAAATAAATAATTTTAAATGATTTTAATAAATTTTAATTAGTGTTATATATTTATTAATATTTATATTAATAATATTATAAAAATAGAAAATTTCTAAACTTTCATTTACTATTGATACTTGGACTAGCAAAAATACTTTACCTTTTCTTGGAGTTACAGTACATTGGATTAATCAGAATTGGTAACTATATAATTCTATTTTGAATTTTTCTCTTTTATCTGAATTACATTCAGAAAAAAATCTGGCTAAAAAATTTTTAGATATTTTACAAGATTTTAATGTTGCAACAAAGGTATTTATTTTATTTTATTTTTAATCTACTTTATAAAAACAAATAATAATTCTTATTTATTTAATTATAGTTATTAGCAATTACATATGATAATGCATCCAATATAGATGTTATGTTATCTAGAATTTTTTATTCTCTAAGTGGAAATAATATAATTATGTTATTTTCACTTAGTCTAGGTTATTCCCACTTCAAAATGATATGGGATTTGCATTTGTCTTGTCACTCGAATGACAAGAGATTTGTGTTTGTCTCGTCACTCGAACTGTCATATATCAGATTGGTGGTCTAGCTGATTTCTATTGTCAGATTGCATATGACGTATTGTATATCAATTTGGTGTTCACAGTTGGTTTTAAAACTAATGAGCTCCCCGAAGTAGGTTATGGCTCTCAACAGGTGACTACTCTATATAATGTTTTAAAACTTTTAGATTTTTAAATTCGTTATCAAAAATTATATAGTGTATGGTAACTATATTTAATTTCAAATGTAAGGAACTTCCCGAGGTAGGATATACTGGAAAAGAGTCAGCTGTAAGTTGTTTCCTATCAGATATGTGGTCTGATGACAAAAGTTAGCCACATGGGTAAAAAAATATATCTAACGATATATTTAGCCGCATGTTGTCATTTGTAAAGACATATAACCAGAGTATATGGTATCTAGTCTGTTATATACATGTTATATATATGTTATCTGGGCATGCTATATATACGCTATCTGATTATGCTATCAATTAATACTACCATATAAATACTATCAAGTTATGCTATCAGTTAGATATATATTCAAGAGTCCAATATGAAACAAGTGATGAAAAAAGTAAGTTAACTTCAAGTTAAAACTCCTCATAGGCCTTAAGGCTCGCGAGCCGAGCCTGATATTATAGGCTCATAGGCTTGCGAGCCTTAGGCTCGTGAGCCAAGCTCAACTAATGCCTAGTTCACAAGGCTCGAGCCTTAAAAATTTTAGGGTTTTAAATAAAAGCCCACATAATTTTTTTTATTTTAAAATTCGTAGCTTTATTTAAAAGCCATGAATTTTTTTTAAAAAAAAAATTATCCGTTGCTATTAAATAGTAATGAAAAAAATCAAATTAAAAAAGTGATCTGTCACTATTTAAAATGACAGATCACTAAAAAAAAAATTAAAATTTCATAGCTTTATTTAAAAGTCACGAAATTATTTTTTTTAAAAAAAAAAGTGATCTGTCACTATTTAAAGTGACAGATTGCTAAAAAAAATAAAAAAAAGTGATCCATCACTATTTAAAGTGACGAATCGCTAAAAAAAAAATTAAAATTTTGTGGTTTTATTTAAAAGTCACGAAATTATTTTTTTAAAAAAAAAAAAAAGTGATCCATCATTATTTAAAGCGACAGATCGTTAAAAAAAAAATTAAAATTTTGTGGCTTTATTTAAAAGTCATGAAATTATTTTTTTTAAAAAAAAAGGTGATCTGTCACTATTTAAAGTGACAGATCACTAAAAAAAATAAAAAAAAGTGATCTGTCACTATTTAAAATGACAAATCGCTAAAAAAAAAAAAATTAAAATTTCATGGCTTTATTTAAAAGCCACAAAATTATTTTTTTAAAAAAAAAAAGTGATCTGTCACTATTTAAAGTGACGGATCGCTAAAAAAAAATTAAAATTTTGTGGCTTTATTTAAAAGTCACGAAATTATTTTTTTAAAAAAAAAAAGTGATCTGTCGCTATTTAAAGTGACAGATTATGAGCTTAATATAAGATTCGCGAGCCTACTATGAGGCTCGAGCCGAGCTGAGCCGAGCCTATATAAGTAAGGCTCAGCTCGACTCGAGTCTAACTTATAAACTCAAGCTTGAGCTGAGCCTAAGACTTTTGGGCTCAGCTCGGCCTGAGCTTTATGAGGCTCAGCTTGGTTCAGCCTATGAGGAGCTTTACTTCAAGTATATATGTAAGAAGGCAGATGTATATTACTGAAGATTATTTCATCCTAACTTACCCGAAAACATGTTGTCAAAAGTATAGTGTTCTTTCAAATTTATATATAATATTTCTGAAGATTACTATACCTTGATTTACTTGAAAGCA